TCTCGACTCTCGACCTGAGGTGCTAAGGTCAACACCTTCGAGGGAACGTGCATGCAAAATACGAAGCAATATGCTAGTATAACAATATACGGTATTACATTATGGTTTCAAACATATCTGGAGCAGCTTTCAAAATGTGTAATAAATTGATGAATTTTATAGGCATCACATTTTATGCTATTCACTCCATGATCACTAACCTCATCTGTCTGAACATTGACTATGTGCCATTAGTCAATGGTTTTAACAAAAACATTCATCACAATTGAAGACGTAAAGTAAATAAAATATTTGCCATATAATTTTCAATCTATTAAGAGAAATGTCAGATAAAAGAAATCTTTTGGAGATCCGAAACTGAGATCGTCGATCCGAAGGACGAATGTCCGTGGGTAATCTTGCGTGAAGGCCGAGACGGTCTCTGACCTCTACAGACTACAGACTGCTGGCTCCAGGATGAAAAGAGCAGACTTAAGACGAAACCCCGCAGACCGAAAACTGTATCCTACTAGCTGCAGACTAAAAAACCGCAGACATACTGCAATTCTTCAGACTACAAACTTCATACTACATACTGAAATGGACATGGAGGGGGTTATCCTACCTACGGGATTCGGCAACTTCTGCACTGACTCCACGCAAGGGAGTCACAAGTACAGCCGTTTTTCCAGCTACCAACTTCAGCAGGGGCTGCACCCTGAAGAACACAGGCACTAAAAACTCGCACACAATTCACAATTTAGCAGCCATATTCGTCAGCCAGGAAACCCCGTAAACTAAAAACCACATACTACAGACTACAAGGAACAGACTATACCTGCCACAGAGCGGCCAATGTGATTGTCAGGTGATCAATGTCGGTTGTTAGGTTGAGAAACTCTGTATATGTCAAGGATTGCAGTTTACTGCTCAATAGATAACACTTGTTGGTAGAATATTGACGGGTCTCTGTCTAGTTGAGGGACGATTGAGTTATTATGTGATTCTGTTCGTCCTTGTTTGTATTGTAACTGCAACGAAGCTAAAGTATCATGTTGTGTGCGTTACATGTTCAGGCAGACTGTGATCTAGTCAACACTGGCTCTGGTAGATCTTTTCATTTATGATAAAAATGTTGTTGTAGCAATTAGCTATAAGCTGATAACGATATAACGTGGGTTCATATGGTGCTTTTCTTGTTTTTCATCACGTATCGTAAATGTAACATCATGGTGTAGTATTAAAGGATCGGCCAGAATGCGCCTAGGAGGATTAAACATTGGGATTAAACAATGTTTAATCCTCCTAGGAATGCGCTACTTCCTAACCACTGGAAAAACTACACTACAAGATGGATAAACATTTTCAATGGTTAAGTGATATTGCGGTGTACACTTTTCAAATATTATAAACAGAATTTCACGTGATGATAGTGGTATAGTGTTACATCTCAAATCATATAGGAAGGTGATATTACCACTACCTCTGTAATAATACTGCTTTTACTTGCGAATTGATGTGATCAGCATTTTGATGCAATACATTATATGTGGCAATTCATCGTCAAACACCATTAATAGAATATTGCGTAGTAGCGTTAATTATACTGTGAATTAATACAGTACATAACATTATATTCTGTATTGTATGCAATTTCAACTTTCAACAATTGTTCCATTATAAAACTAAGCCTAAAAGGTACTGCGGTTCTGCTAATTAAAGACGTGTTGTACAATGAATTTGGTAACTTAACTACAAGAAAGTCATAGGACAAATATGTGAGATAACTCGTCATGGACGTTATGTACCAATTGCCCTTATTCTGATATAGTTTTTATAACTCGCTTAATTAATTGTACTCCAAACTGCATAAGGAATTCAACGGCTAAAATATCAAATACTAAATAAACAATAACCAAGAAATATGTTACTTTTGACTATTCTTTTTATTATTATTTGAATCTTGGTTTTGCCTAAAAGTTTGTTTCAAAATGTACTCTTTTACAAATGTTTATTAATCAGTGATTACAATTTTGGCCAAAGTTCTCAAAGGATTGGCCCTTGTAAGTGTATTTTAATTGTTGCAGAGTTGGTTGCCATTTTCGTCATTGATTGGTATTCTGTTTATATACTTGATGGTAATGAACCACAAACTTTCAGTGTATATTTAGTCTAATGAACGTATATGCAGATTTCCCCGCTTCCTCTAGTTCGGACGTTAACGTCTTCGACGCAGGAAACATTCCATATCCTCCCCGAGCATAAAAAGCGAAACCCGCGAGAGTGAAAGTAATTATTGAAGGTAAAATTTATAGCGAGTTTCGTTCCGCTCTCTTCGGGTGCGGTGGCGGCGTTGATGCGTGTCTCCGCGGTGCGTCGGTCGTCCGGCGTCGCGGCGTCTCTCTCCCGTCCTCGGCGTCGCCACGGATACGGTGTGAGGCGATGCGTGACAACAGTTACTGTTGACTTGGCACCTTGACATGTACAATTGTTCAGGCATTAGACAAATTATCCACTAGACATTAGTCAAGGTTTTCGGTTCAAGTCAAGTACAAATTTCTAGAGTTTAGAGCATGGCGGTAATAAGAGTGGTTTAAGATCTTTCTACGTTCAATGCTAAAAGACAATAAGGAGTTTTGTAAATAGTAAATCAGCTCAGCATGTTTGCATGTAAATGATATGCGACGTTCACAAAACGTGTAAAAAGTATTCATTTGATAACTCACAATATATTTCCTTAGAAATCCTTACTCGTAAGTTCTGCTGTTGGTGTAGTGAGGAAGATTTTTATTTTATTACTGTGGGACCAACAGTTTGTCTGAAACCAATAGTGGACACCTAACGTGATTCACCCTCTATAGATACCACTATTGACACTTTTACCCCAATGCCACTCTCTGGGATGACAAGATGGGTGAAGTGTCAATGGCAGCTGAGAGGAGGCGATGATCCTGTAGCCCAGAGTGACCTTGGAGCTAAGGCTGGTCGTGGTCGTGGGATACGCCCTATCTGACGTCCAAGGACTCGCCAGCGCCTGTGGGATGAGGAACAACGATCAGGTGATCTGACCAATCTTGCCGCTCCAGAGCACTTTAATTATCGGCTGATTGTCAAAACCAACAAGGATATAACCCCTACTGTTAGTCTAGTTTTTCCTCACAACCGATATTTTCCTGGTGATAAATATTGGCGCAGGCAATAACAAAATATCTGCAAACCAGTATTCTAGAATCTAGATGAGGCGAGTGTATATGTGTGCTTACATAGCCCGATATCTTACATATCAAACGTTTCTTAGAATGTAGCGTCACTACTTTTTCAACTGCTCTTTAGTGTTTATTAACGCCATTATTATAATGAAATTTACAGTGCATCATCTTATGCAAAAGATATTCATGTCATTCTATGCTGAGGTTTGTTTCATAAACTGGATGTTTAGTTGTAACATTGGCAGGCTTAGTAGTTTAATTATATGGGATTACAGAAAGATTAGCTTTCGCGGTTCACAATTTTTTCATCGAATGTTAGTTCGTAATCAGATTTCCGGATTGTCAAAACCTTCATGGATCGTATTAAAATCTGCATTAGGTTCTCTTTGTTACAAAGTATACTTATGTGAATGTGACTTGCAGTACCAACGATATTATGTCACCATTTTATTTAGAATGGCTAGAGCCATGAATTGCAATGTATGTGCAATAATCGTACAGGTACCGCATTGAAGACTTCGACTCTTCATTAGTATACTACGTATCCAGAAGTCACAGAAAATTGACCAAGTCCACATTCTTAACATGCAAAACTTAAATTTATCAGCATCACGAACAAAGTTAATCTAAACATAAATTTTTGACAAAAATTGCAAATGATTTATAATTTGATGACTTATTGCACTTACTTAATACTGTGGTCACTGGTACCCCAAATTGTACTTGGCCTCTCCATCACACTGCCTCCACACCTCTTTGAATCTTGCGTCCTCCTTCCTTCTTCCCAGTTTTCGTATGTCCTTTTCTACTTGGTCCTACCATTTTAGTTTCGATCTACCAAGAGGTCTTCTTCCTTCTGGGATGTTCTCCAGTAATTTCTTTTGTAACGAGTTGTCTTCTTTTCTTAAGACATGTCCTGCCCTTCTCATCCTTCTACTTCGTACCTCAGCGACAATATCCGGATCTTTAAATAATTATCCGTGTTCCCAATTATGCTTTAGTCTCCAGTGTCCATCTTCAAAAGTAACACTCTTCTTAATATCTTGTGTCAAATAGGCTACTATCTTTTTTTTGTTTACTTAAAATCCTTATGGAAAGTAAAACTATTCCAGATTGCGTGCATAATGAAAATAGTCCAATCAGTACGGTATGAACTTACCGTACTGATTGAACTAATTTCATCATGTTTATTAAGTAAAACTATTCTAGATTGCGTGCATGATGAAATTATATTAGGTAAATACCATTTTGTTTAAAGGGATATTTTTTACGTGTAGTACTTCTTTTAAGTGGAGAACCAGAGTTACAAGATATCTATTTTTAAATCAAAATGGTCTAGTATAAGCTGAGGCCAGTTTCGAACCATCAATCGAGTTAGTGTGTACTCATATGAGGGTGACCAAACAACACGCCCCTTATTTGAGATATCGCCCGTAATGTACCATGAAAGGACGGGCTTTAATTGCACCAACTACTCCAGGGAGCCACCCGATAAGTCCATTAACTGACTCATTAGACTGTATAATTGAGTATTTTTTGTTAGGTTAGGCTTGGTTAATTTAGGTTAGGATGTTAGGATAGGTTAGGATGACACGTAAACTGAGTTATTCCTTCTGCCAGCAACTCACGCCTCTAGCTTGGGCTTGGCGCAACTGAGGAACATTGTTGGGACCCTTTGAGGGTTTGGTGCAATTAAGGAACTCTTTGGTTCAATTAATGCACGACCACATGAAAGGTTCAGCCTCTGTAACGACATGTGAAGGGTGATATGTTCTTACCACGCTAACACTGTCCCTACTTGTTATGTTGTAGAGTTCTGGTAACGGCCCGACCCCGCTGAGTCTCCAGAGACTAGCCTCGTGTCTGCACAGCGTGGTGTCGCTGCTGGAGTGTCCAGTGTGTCTGGAGACCATCCCTCCGCCAGCCTTCCAGTGTTGCAACGGTCACACCCTGTGTGGCGTGTGTCGCTCCCTCACTGACCGCTGCCCCGTGTGTCGCGTGGCTCTCGGACCCCGTGGTCGGTGTCTGCTCGCCGACAAGCTGCACATGCTCTTCACTTCGACGTTCCTCCACTCCGGAGGCAAAAAGCAGAAACGATCTAAGGTAATTTGACAGATTATTGCAAACACTAGTTAATTACATCAAAGAGAGCTCTAAAATTAGTAGTCGGTGTTTTAAAAACGGCTATGTATATAAGGGTCAATGTATTGTATTTGAAAAGATAACTTTTATTAGAGTTATCAGAAAAGGAAAAGTCTTTAAACCAAAATTCACAAACAAATTAATGGACTTACGCACACTAATGTATTTTATTGTTTTGCTATATTACAGGCGTGGCGGGGACAAACACCTAAGCTACACCTGCCTTCTCGTCTCTTGCCTCGCACAGTTCCCACCCCTAGCCTGGGCTGCGGTGACGACCCCCGGGTGTGTCCCTGTCCTCTGCCGCAGTGTGAGGGTCTGATCCGCGGCGGAAACCTACTGACTCACCTCCAGACACACGACGGCCCGCTGGTCCAGTACTTCTGTAAGGAGTCCTCCACTCAGCTCCGGTTCCCAGTGACGCGACTGACGACTCTGACCGACGCCCAGGGTGTCACATTCCTGCTGCACGTCGTCCCCGCGCCCGACGGCCTCGCGCTGCTGTTGTGGCTCTGGGTGGCGCTCCCCGCTGCAGCACACTACCGCCTCCAGCTAGACCGCCCCGGCCGCGCTCCTCTGGTGCGCCCCGCGGTCTTCCCCGTGTCCTGGGGCCCCAACAAAGTCATAGACTCAGCCGCTGACCGATGCGTGGTCCTGGACGACTGTGATTTCGATACGAACTGTACCAAAGTAAAAATATCAATACTCTCAGATCAAGATTAGTCTCGGAATTAGCCTCGTGATACAGTGACTAAGGATTTTGTGATCTTATAAGTAGTGTTATTGACGTGTTTTGTAGTAAAATAATATTTATTAATACTGTATGTGTTAGTCATAAGTTTTTGTACAAAAGGAGATTACTGCAACCAATGCGCTCATAATGCATAATGCTGTGAATAAAATTGTAATTTTTCAAAACCGTCTAGTAACCATACGGAATTTTCCCATATTCCTTTTGTTAACTAAGCAATTTAGATACACTTAGATACTACTTAGGATGTGACTCAATAGCCCATGGAAAACATAAGGTTATGTATTAGTGTATAATGCGTTTTTTCAGTTTTATCAGAGACCAATTAAACAAGTGAGTATTCAAAAAAGTCAATTTTTGTACAAAACTAAACTTTTCTCAGCGAGTCAGTCAAGACCATTAAATGTTAAAAAGTTCCATCTTAAAATGTCATCAGTATATATTGTGTATGTACTATAGACTTTTTAATTTAACCAGCTTTTAAATTGTCAATGTCACTTAAAAAAATTGGAAAATTGAAAAAAATTTTGAAAATCTGTTTAGTATCATTGGTGAAGATCTAGGTAAGAGGTAAATAAATTAAGTTGCCTATGTATATTTTTTTCTTCAGTGTGAAAGGTTCATTAAAATAAACCACATACTCGTCATGAAAAAGTAAAGTCCACATGTGTATCAACAATATTTAGCTCTTAGCGGCTCTTAGCTAATAAAAAAACCAAGAGTCCTTGAAACAAGTTTGGTTTGTATAAACTCTACGGAAACGTTCATTAATTTGACAAAAACCGGACCAGCCAACAAGCAGCCTTTTTGTGAACACCGTTCCTCGGTTCCGGCCTGGTTGACATTACTCAACAGATCTGGGCGATAAGCAAACAACGACAAGACAAGGTAAAGCGGTGGAAAGCGTGATGGTGACCCAACAACCAGTTACGTCATCTCACCTTAGATCAGCTGATTGTGCCGTCACTGTGTCATATACAATACGGTCATGTACCAATGTGCTACCAATACCGTAACATTGCAAGAAGGCTGGGTCCAGGCAGTCAATAGGATTGTACAGTTTGTTGTATCAGTCACCAAATGTTTGATATCTTTGGCCAAGGGATAGTTTCAGTTAATGCTCAGCTCAGTAATTTATAGAAACATCGGACTTGTCGGTAAAGACAATCCAGCTCTCTACTACAAATACGTCTGTTTCGTCTGGGTTGCAGAGTCGAGCTTACCTAAGGTTTATATTAACCTTGGAGCTTACCCACCTTAACACCTCGGGGGAAACCGTTCTCAATGAGGCTCAAGGTCTGGAATTTAACCCTAAAGTCACATGAATGATCCACGAGTCACAAGGTAAAGCGCATTAATACTTTAATACTCAAATAATTTTCAATGGAATTGCGACCATACAAAGTAGGTATTTTAAACCAAGTATGAATGGAGATGAGTGTTGCACCTACCCACAATGATGCGAAATCGAGTTAACATATTCTTCTATTTTCGGGATGACAGCATACCACTTACTGCTTAAGAAGTGCGAATTTAAGTTTAGTTAGAACCCCACACTATTCAATATGCAAGTTTTTAATGTCCTACAAAACAATGATAGTCAAAAGAAGGTTTAACCTCCAAAAAATCCGAAAGTATTGCAAACTTTGCACTCTCTGATGAAGATTATACCAAGTCCCCATAAATATGAGGCGAGTTCTAGCGGCAATTAGCGAAAATAGGGCACCTTTTTTGGTTTTTGGCTAAAATTTTGAGATCTGTTGTCAGGGTGCGAACAATGGTACAAACTAAAGTACAGAACAAATTGCCAAAATGCCAGTTTGAGAAAAAATGCCATATTTTAGTGCCGTATAACTCGGTAACCGTTAGGAATAACATAAAAGTGTATGTATCATTTTTGTGGGTAATTTTTATTTAGTATACGGATACTTTTAGCTCCGACAAACAGTTCTCGAGATTTTAGCCAAAAACAAAATGATGGGCCCTATTTTCGCTAATTTCCACTACAGACCGCCTCATATTTATGGGGACTTCTGGCGTAATCTTCTCTAGGTACCTAGAAATATGTGTGCAAAGTTTCAAAACTTTCGGATTTTTTCGGGGGTTGGGTCATTACCATTAATTTTTATATATTTTGACTGGACTATAGATCGAACCTATGAAATAGGAGAGAATCAATTATTTTTCACCACACTATGATGTTTTTAGCTGTTCGTCATTTGGGGACCGAACAGGTTTTTACATCCCTTGGGCCGCAGAATCAGCTGTCCGCTTACTTTCTCAAAACATAAATGCATATTAAATAAACAATAGCCTTGCAATGGAAATGATTATTGTCACCGCTGCCTTAGCAACTATTTATTATTATTTTTGCTGATTCCTCAAATTATTTCTCCACATAACCTTAAAGTTGTAGTTGTGTTGACTATCAGTGTGCTATTGTGGTGAATAGTGGTAATATGGTATAGTGTGGTGAAAAATAGCTTCCGTACCATGGACCGAAATGGTTTTGCAGCTCTCGATCGTTTTACGTTCTCGACTTCGTCTCGAACTTGAAAATTATCTCGAACCGGCAAATCCTCATTTCGGCCCTAGGTACGAAATATACTATTTCTTTATCAGCTGGTGCTAGCTTTGCCAGACCGATTTCTTTCTTGGGAAATTCTGCTAAATTAGTTGGAGCATTAGACATAGACTAATTCTATTATTGTATGCAGACAAGATTTACCTTGATTGACTATCAAAAGACTATGGCCTTTGACTATGAGCAAAGGAAGAGGCGAAGGCATTAACCTGAAGGAGAAGTTGAAGGAGTTCATGTAGATATACTCGTTACTCTTCAAAGCTTATATCCGCATTCTCCTTCTGTGCACCCTGTTGGTGTGTGTACTGTAGGCTTCCACGAATTTGTGTGATGACTCTTGAAGGCTAGATGCTCCATCCCTGATCGATTTACTCAGGTCTTTTCTCTAAGCGGCCCATATAAAAAGATTAATTGCCATGTAAGGTATTCCGTTGTCTATATTATAGTTATTTAGGTGAATGCAGGCTACTGACTACTACCATAGATTAAAGGAGTAAGGAGTAGACAGACATAAGGAGTAGAGTAGATTAAAGGAGTAGTGTCTACTCAATTAATCTATGCTACTACCTTAGACTATAATAGTCAATGCTGCTACTGTCTCTCTTGAATTAATTTACAATTTAGTGCTATCAAACTTATATCAGATCAAACGATGCACTGTTCAAGATAGTTTTTCATATGTGATGAAATTCTTTGCTTTAACATACCATTGAGTTTAACTATCTGTGACTTAAACCTAAATTAAAGAGTAGAGATGTTCACCATGCTGCACAAAAACTATTTTACCATTATACTTAGGGAACTATTAAAGGCTATGAATATTTTACACTACAACCGTGCAGAGTTCATGCTTCTTTATATAGACTAGTGTTAGGGCTTGTACCATTGTATGGCAGCGATATATGATATAACAAGAACTCAGTGCGGCTGTAGTACTGTAATATGCTGTTGTAGACATCACACCAACACCAGCCTTGGCCTGGAACACGACACCACGATCCTTCCTGCATTACACCATTACATGACACCTACCGTCTACAACTGCTGCCGTCGAAAATTTCTAAACCCTCACGTTACTTTAACGTAGAAAATATACACGTTATGTTACAGTTTAAAACAGTTTTGTACATGGGATTAACAGTTTTCGTTTTAATCGAAAATCGAATATTCCCTATGCCATTTATTATAACGGTATAGAAATTGGACTAACTTCCGAAGGTCAGGAAACAACAAACTTCACAGTACTACATGTGGTTGACTTCTTCCACATTCGTCGTACACCATAGGTAAATAGTAGTTTACGCAACGATCGCGGAAAGATAGGTTGACGACACGAGTAGATATCTAAGCTACGAGCCTTGGTGAGTGCCTTAAAAACTTTTACTAATGTCGTTAAGACTATTTACGCGTGTTGTGTACACTGTTTTATCTACGACAGGTTTTAGTTACTAACAATCACTACTCATAACTAAGAGGGGGAGCGAGCTGGTGTAGTGGTTAGAATGAGGGACTTCGGTCCCTGGTGTCCCGGGTTCAAATCATGGATTTTATCTAATGCCGCAGCCCGCAACCCCTAGGTCTAGCCTGAAGTATTGTGGAAAACAATCCCCAGGCTCGTGCCTAGCATCCTAGGACAAAAACTCATAACTGCGAGAGGTTATGTTTTCGTTTATACACTCTCATTGCCACTGACAGTGATGCAACGAATCATTGTACCAAACACTAATAGCACCACTCACAAACAATTAAATTGGTAAATACATTTACCAACGGCCGTTTCAGCTCAGTTCTTAGATTTGAAAAGATTCACTTAACAGCATTTACATAACGTTTACTTACTTAACAGCATTGTCTTACTTACTTAACAACACGAGTATAGGACCAATGAGGTTCAAAGATTGATGGAAAAGAAGTAAAATTGTAATGTTTTGAACTTCAACTAATCAGCTATGCCTAAACACTGAAGTAACATCTGTTAAATTGCAATTCACATTGTAACCGTTATAAAATTGGTCAGCATAACAGGATCTTTGAAAATGGAATCTAGAAATAAACTAAACACGAGGGAACGAAGCCCGAAAGACGATTACCTTGTTAGTCACCATTTTCAGGTGTGCTATATCTTAATCTTTAAAATGATACATCAATCGTAAAAATCGGTTATGAACGACGGCTGGAAAAGGGATGTTACCCCTACAGAAACCCCTTATTGTATTAGGTATATAGATAGATTGTACCTAAGGCACCCACGGGTAGACTCAAGGCTCTGGACCGGTCCTTGTTTACTTCAGGAGATGGATCACTTTCTTGTTGCGTCACTCCTGAACTTTCACCTCCGCTTACACACACACAGCTCCAGTTGTGGTTCGGTAATGTTATCATTCATTAATTACAAAGGTGGAACATACAAGGACATACAAGTAATATCCTGGCATGGTCATTTAGTCATTTTTTCTAACTTCACAGATAGGGTGATCTTGATCCAAGAACGAGGCGTGAAATGTGCTATGAAGGTTAATTAAGTATGATTAATCTACCAGTTTTATATGATTTG